CAAACGTGGGTGGTCAGAGTCCAAGAGCCAAACCCAGGTAGAGTCCGAATCATTGATCCAGTTTCTGGTTCAGAATGTAAAGACTTGTCCGATCACTTACCAAAGTTTTTAAATTTGTTGGATTATCGGGTTACTGAAATAACTAAATCATACCAACTTGTATCAACTGATAAACAGCATATTGTTGTGAAATTGATATTTTCATCTTCTCTTGATGAGAATGATGATGAGTTTGCTGTTATGGCGAGAGATAATGATATGAAAGAACTAGGAATCTGGAGAAATTTAGACAAGAAATGGAGTATAATCGACATGGAACTTAAATTTCCCAAGTTCTCAGTTGTGGATATTATTTATTATGATCACAAGTTTTATGCAGTGCTCACCGTGGGCCGTACTGTAACTGTGGATCCTAAATCTTTGGTTGTTACTCAAGTTGCAGAAGAGCTACAATTGGATCGGCAATAATGATTTGTTTTTGATTGTTCAGTTCGACGACGACAACAACGGTGATGATGATGATGATGAGTATAATATCGCGCTTTTTAAGCTTAATGAAGAGAACCAAAAGTGGGTTCCAGCTGTGGATAGATTAGAGTTGGAAGATGAGTGTTGTTTATGGGTGAAAGTAGTAGTGCATATTCGTTTCCGATTAAGGAGGTCGCGGGTTGTGTGTACTATGAAGATTTTAGCTCGATTGCCAATTACCCTGGACAAGGTACTTGGATTTGTGACCGCAAAAATCATGTAGTTGGGGGTACAAGGAACTCTCTGTTTTTCCACGCTATTTGAAACTTTTCTGGCCGCCTCCAGCTTGGTTGAAGTAAACGTTTGTTTTTCTAGTCGTTTCCATTCGATTTATATCTATATGTATATGCATCTCGATTTCCAGTTTCTGTGTGTTGCTCAATCTTCTATAAGAGTTGAAATGAAATGAAATCAGTCAATTCTCAAGTAAATTTTTTTGTGTTCCAACTCGTGTTCTGTTTCTCCGCTTGCATATTTTAGAAATATTCTACTTAGTGTTGTTACTTTATGATGAGTTGCCAATAATGCTTGATTTATCTATAGAGTTTCTTCTTTGCCTGAAAGAGAAGAGTATATTAGATACTCTCACATTTGCTTGAAAAGCCAAAAGCAATATATGACTAGTAAAATTTTGTGTTCTTGTAATTTTTCTGTAGAGGTTTTGGGGTTTGAATTTTGTGTCATTCCTATTTCCGAAGAGAAAAAAAAAAAAATTAGATACAATAAATATAAAAAATCTAAAAAATGTTTTTCATAAAAGAAAAATTATTTCTTTCCACTAAAATTATGATAATAAGTGTTTAAATCAAGGAAATAAAGTTTTATTATAAAATTATTTAATGATATAGTAGTTAAAAATAATAATTTGGGTACTTTATCCATTTGTTACCCATGATTAGTTGTGCTATTATGTGACACAAAAAGATAAACTCTTTTGTTTTTATATCTTATTAATTTTCATTTGATTTCTAACTTTACCCTTCCGTCGAATGGATTAGGCTACTGGCACTAATCTTTTGGATGAAAATGTCACTATATGATAACAATTGAGTATTTAATATCACTTATTTAAACATTGGAATCTAATTGTCACTTACACTATATATACATTATTAAACTCTGTTAAAATTAATGAAAAGCCTCAAATACCCTCATACATGTAACTAAAAGATGAATTTTCAATCTTTTCTATTTTCCTAGAAGAAAGGGGCATTTTTTTAAAGTGAAAAATTGAAGGGGATTAATTGAATTTTCCAATGGCAGTGGGGGCATGAGCCCCCTCTTTGTACATTATATGTGCTAAGAGGGGGATTATCGGGTCAAAGAAATAAGTACATTATATGCATTTAAGTTTCCTCGTAGGGCAACTTCTTCTTTCTCTTCAAAAGTGGTTTTCACTAGTGTTGATGAGAATGATGATGGGTTAGCTGTAATGGGGAGGTTAGATGAAAAAAAGGTGGGAGTATGGAGAAATGTAGACCAGAAATGGACTAATGTAAAAACCTGGGCCTTCCGCATTCTTCTTCTTGTATTGGTGATTTTATATACCGTAATCACAAATTTTATGTTATGGTTTTTCCAAGTTGCAGCTGGACCAAAAGAAGTGATTCGGTGTATATGGTATTTGCACTTGTGATTTCGAGTAGTTTGTTTGGCTTTCACGAGAACAATTATTGTCTCCATTAACTGTGTGACTATTTGTATTACCATTAGTGTTGAATTATGACTATGTATTATCTCCCTTGAATCACCATTCTCTCAATTCACTGCTTGCATTTTGCTTCGCCTCTTCTTCCTCTTCTTCTTCTTTAGCAATTTGCAGCCATGGACACAATCACTCCCCGATTGGACCAGTCTTCCTTGACACCTCCTCACCTCAATAGCAAAACGTCTCCACACTCGAATCGACATTCTTCGTTTTCGCGCCGTTTGTCCCTCATTTCGAGCCTCAATTCCTCCTCCCCCAATACTATACCCATTCCCACAGTCCATCCTCACTACCACCGACTTCTTTAAACTCAGGGCGTCCGCTGTTTACGCCATTGAACTCCTCAACAGAATCTCCAATACCCCGGACGAAGACACTCCTCAAACGTGGGTGGCCAAAGTCCAGTTGTCAAACTCAGGTAGAGTCCGAATCATTGACCCAATGACTGGTAAAGATTGTAAATTCTTCCCCGAGAAGTTCCCAACGTCTTTATATTTATTGGATTATCGGGTCACAGAAATAGGTAAATTATACAAACTTTACGCTGCTGTTGGATATGGTTTTTCAAAAGTGGTTTTTCTTCGAATCTTGATGAGCGTGATGAAGAATTTGCAGTTATGGGGATAGGTCAGATGATTATTACCCTTGGCAGGATGCTTGGATTTAGGGCTTTAATAATGGTGCATTTGGGCATATCTCAGTCTTTCCAGGCTACTTAAAACTGTTTCTGGCCTCCACCAGCTTGGTTGAAGTGTTTCTTTGGATGTATCTTCATTACCACTTTCTCTTTGTGGCTCTATCTTCATAGCTCTGAAAAGAAATGAAATCAGTCAATTCTCAAGTAAATTTTTTTGTGTTATAACTCATGTGCTCTGTTTCTAGAGCTGATTAGAGCCTGATAATCTATTGTTTGAATAGGGTGTTCTATTTTTTTTTTCCATGTTCTTTTCTACTTGCATCCTAATACCTTCTTAATGCTTGATGTGATCTTTTCGTTTGGTTCTTCTCTACTTCCATTTTTTCCATTTGCTTTTGATTGCTGTGTACTTCAGATGTGGACGTTATTTCAAGGTGTTTAGGCTTGATGAAGAAAAAGGTAGTGAGTTCCGGTGCTGGATGGATCGGGATTGGAGGATAGAGCGTTATTTATAGAACAAAATCGTTCATATTCTATTTCGGCTAAAGAATTCTCTGTATGTAGAGGAAATTGCATTTATTTTAACCTGAACCTATACAGTGAAAATGTTTGGATTGTTGATTTCAAAGATGGCAAGGGTGGGAAACTCTCAGGTTTTCCAGAGTATTCTAACCCTTTTTGGCCTCCATCATCTTGGTTGAAGCTGCATTCCTCCTCACTTGGTTGTCCTTGAATAAACGTTATTGATTCTCGGTTCCAGTTGTTACAATTTCAATTGAAAATTAATCTTTAATTTGCATTTTTCAATCTCTTGAATACATGCTTTCTTGATACTGGATTGTATGGATACATAATTTGGACTATTTATATGAGGTTTTTCCCGATATATTTAGATCATTTGATGAAGATGATTAGAATAAGAGTTTCGATGTTTTGCAAGTGAAAAACTTAGAGATTTGAAAGAGGCTTCAATTTGCAAATTCTCAATGTGAAATCTGCAAAGAGTCTCTTAATGGATCCTACACAATCCCAAATTATCCAATATATATCGGAGTCCTGGATTTCTTGGATGCCAATAATAGAGAAATAGTTACCGTTACTAGTTCTCATATACTGTCCCACGCTGCACCAGCCACCGACAGTATATTTTTATTAGGTTATTTCATAATATATGGAGATGTTAATATAGGAAAATATTTTTAAGAATTATACATCTCAAGCAACTTCAATTATTGACAATAAATATTAGTGTTTACAACAATAATCCGCATGTGGTTACAGTAATAGCGTAAATCTCTTTATTGTTAAGTTTTTTGTTTAAAATAAACGGCATTAACCCATCGTGTTAACAATATATTAACAACTCACTAACGATAAGAGAATTTGTGTTATTCCTAAAATCTCAAACGATTGGGGGGTAGGGTCCATTAATTGGCATAAGAAACATGGTTATTAATATCTTACAAAACGATTTAATATGAGTCGGCAATGATACGTATCACAGAATATATCTTAAACATTTCGATATGTTGATATGTATCTTATGATATGGTATGTATTGGTTCGTATTCTTAAAAATATCGATACAAGTTGATACGATTTTATTAATTTGGGCCGAAGGCCCAAAAAATAGATCGGGTTAAATTCGGGTCACCTAACCTCGTTCACTTAAATAGATCGGGTAAATTTGGGCAGGTTTTAGTGAACCGAGTTGGGTGACTTAGATTTGACCTGAAAAAACTTTTGGATCTTTGGCCCAAATTAATAAAGTCGTACCGATTTGTATCGATATTTTTAAGGATACAAACGGATACGTATCATATCATAGGACACATATTAACGTATCGAAAGGTTTAGGATACACTCTTTGATATGTATCGCTGGCAACCCATATCTAATTGCATCATAAGATACGTATTGTGTATTATAGAATACTAACAACCATGATTAATAACAAATTAAGTGATATAGTGATTGATTGAAAGTAAAAGGAGAAGTAGAGATGAAATATAATTAATATTATATTAATATATATTACAGAAGGGTAAGTTTGAGAAATACAAACGAGAACATATTCTTATATATTATTAAAATTTCAACAAGCTTTTTTACAACAAATGAAGCATGCACTATAAAAATTTCAATTATCAAATGCAACAAAACTTTGAACAACTACAAAGCATGCACTCATTTCTACAGCCAGGGAGGAAGTGATTAATCAATTTTCCTCCCATTTTTGTTATATTGTACACTTAAACCACAATGTGTCATTAAAAGACGAACATGAGTAAGTAACTCTCCACCCTTCCTAAGGTGGTGACCATGAACTTTCCAGTCACACTCGTTTGCAGCATAAGTCAACATTTCCACCCACACTTCTGTTATCATTTTCCATTTTTTATTCCGATTCCAACCATCCTCAGATTCAAGCGATTGCAATTGTTTCGCAAGATTACATCCTTCCACCAGCACTGACATATCATCTGATTTCAGATTATCAATGTTATTCCGAAGCAAGAACTTGCAATCTTCTACTCTTTCAACTGATGTCGATCTCGTTTTCGATGATTCGATGAACCTCCTGACCATGACACAGGTTTCCCTAAACCTTAACTCACCATTTCCTTTAGGCATCATGGAAGGACACACCACTAGAATATATAACATGTAATCTGACAAGCATTTGCCAATTTTGCTATTTTGATAAAGATCGTTATTAGCAACTTCATGTTTATCGAAATCGTCATAATAACAAAGATCAGTCGCGATGTGCCAAAGGAGAAGGCTGTGATCAAAGTCTACCTCTTCGACGCACCAATAAAAATCAACAAGTTTATACCTTTCTTCAAGCACATAATCACCTCTTTGACCCAATATTTTCTTAAGTAAATGAGTGTCGCAAAAATGATCTTGTAGTTCATAATTACCAATTTTCTCCGAGAGCTCCTTGAAGATCATCTTTTGCAAATCAACATTCACATTTTCCCAACTTAAATACAGATGATTCTTCAACCGTTTGCCGATGAAGAATATATTCTGAACCCTCGTATGTTTGGCTGACATGTCTTTGATGCAACAACGTAAAAGATTGAATTGTCCCATGGCCATGGACCACCTCTTGCGATTGCCAAAACCTGGAATTTGCCACGCTTTCTTGTGCCTGGTTAAACGAATAACTGTTGCCCAATCAGACGAACAGAGTTCGATAACTGCTAAAGCCTCAATAACAACAGTCACAATTAGCAGTGAGAAAGTTACGAAAAAGTCACTCAAAGGAAACTCATTCTGCAACTTTTTGGCAGGTAATGACCAGGCAATTAACATATAAATGGAGGAAAAGAAGCTGAAGCAACGGAGAAAGATTCCCAATCGAGAATAAACAAGAATCGCCTTGGTGTAGAGCACATCATACATGATTCCAAGCTCAATCGCTACCAGATTGAAAGCATCTTCGGCTAACTTTAGGCAAATCTTGTAACTTACCAACAGTTCATTTTCATCAAGAATAAGGTCTGCAAATATATTTGCAAATCTCTTGAACAGAAAAAAAGCTTCAAAGATTTGACGTGATTCTTTTTTTGTTGCTTCACTCTCAATATCAAAGTTTTCCTCCTCAAGTTCTTTCTCCATATCTTGTTTGGTGATTTTAACAAGATCTGGAAATGGATCAGGATTTGAGAGCAAAGACTCTTTAAATCGCTCGGTGCTTGAAGACCAGAGAACAAAAACCCTCTCTCCATATTTAATAATTCCATAAATAGTTATTGGAATTAATATATGTTTGGGGAAAGCAATGTTACTCCAGGACACAATAACGAGATAAAATACTGCCCAAATATTAGCAATGAATGCAAAAAAGGTTCTCGACCACAACTCATTATCTTCTAAGGAGTAAGCTGAGATAGTGTCTGGGCCACCAAGGTGTAAGAGAAAAAAAGCTGACCACAATACCTTGAGTGAACTGTTTTCACTTAAATAATCCTTGAAGTAGCCACATTGCTCTTCTGAAAATGTATAAGAGGAACAGTCTGTATCGTATTCGTAATTGCCGAGGTTGCCTAGGGCAACAGTTGCCATCCAATTTGCTCCTAAATATGCCGACCAGACAAGGAGTTTTATCCAGCTTCTTATTATATATTTTCTTCGAAAACCAAATAAGGTGAGGATGATTTGTAAACAAAGGCCAATTATAATGAATGCGCGGACTTCCCATCTATACCAAGTTTTTTCTAACTCCTTTAGAGATGATGCTTTGTCACTTCCCATCTTAAGGATAAAATTATCTGCAACCAAAATTTAATTATAAGAAAAAAAAAAAGATTAATTTATTTACCATGTATATTTTATTAGTCATAAAAATTAATAAGAATAATGTTATCATATAAAATGTATACGGAAAATTTTAATCTGAAATTTGTTTCAGTGAAAATTTGAAAACTCAACAACTAATAACTCAATAACTGAGGAATGATATGCCGATAGAAGAATAATGCAACATAAGTTTTTTGGGAGAATTATAAAGTGTAGTACTACTGATTGATCTTTTTTTTTTTTTTTTTAGATTTTACAGGTGAAAATAAGGATAAAACTGATAAACATATACCTTGTGAGTGTTGGAGAAGATCGAGAAGAGATAAGCTAAAATCAGAGTATATATAATTTGTTATATTTTAGTAACTAATGAGGATGTCAATAATGAATTCCAAACAGAGACGGGCATAATAAATAATAAAATAAAGAAAATGAAAGTGATCACTACCAACAGTATGATCAGGCTCATAAAAAATCATTAACCAGATTTCATATTAAATTAACGCATTAGATTGTAACGAAGAAAATAACAAAACAAAAGATGAACTAGCATTAAAATGTATAAGTAGATAACCAAAGGTTAAGAGTAATGATATTAACATTAATATTGATCTTATATGGTGATTCGATCATTTTAAAAAATTCAAAAGAAACAGTGTACTGTTTAATATGATGCAATGCTTTACGCAAAACTTACTTCCAAAAATTAGCTTAAAAGATGAAGAACTCACACCGAATATATATATCATAACAATCCAACAACTTATTAATATTGGATGATATAATATGATGCACTACAATAAACAATTATGGAGGCCGTCCTAGAAAAAGAGATGATATGATATGATTTTACCAAATTCAAGAATATGAATTATCTAATTGACTAAAGACTATCGTAATTAAAGAAAAAAACCAAAAAATATAGATTCTTTTTTAATTTAAAGTAAATATTTCACGAATTTTTTATAGGTACCCTCTAATTCAAATGGGGCTTTCCGTAATTGCCCCATTTACGTAAGATTGCTTATAAATATACATAATATTTAGTTATTCTCTCTTACTAATGTCCTGGTTTTTTTATTTTTTATTTTTTTATTTGGACTTACGTTTCTCACTGTAAGAATATATACTAAAAAACAAAAGAGAAACAACTTAAGCTTAAACTGTGAAGAGGAGAGGTTTGAGCGAATTTTTGAAATCTGAGGGGAGTTTAGGGATATTATCTTAAATTTATGGGGTGTCAGTGGTTAAAACACAAACCTCAAGGGAGGTGAGGGATAATAACTTGAGCATGAGGATTGAAATAGATTTAAGAAGTGTGAAATAGAATGGATTCTCTTAATACTTTTGCATAGCTGATAGAATCATGTATAAAAGAAAAGTTGATTCCAATGTTTTGAAACCGAACCACCCCTTGACCTGGGTCCAACCGGTTGGACTGGTGACATTAGCATGTCCAACAGGTTTGAAATCCAGCAAACACACTCCTAGAAAATTCCATCAGTCCCTATAGGTTTAAAATCCAACAAACACACCCCTATGATATGGGCAGTAAATCGTGAAGCAGCCAGGTGTGGCAACGATGATTGATGGTCAATCAGAGTTCAAGATGATGGGGCTTTTAATGTGGAGAATGGAGATGAAGATGATGCTAAAGGTGGTGTCAGGGGGATGGTTGGCATCGGAAGCTACCGGAATCAGTGAGAAAGACAGTCAGTTTTTACGATGCAGACAAGTGGTGACGATGACGATTGGCGGCCCATAGGAATTTGAGATGATGGGGTTTTGATACGGAGATGAAGGTGATGTCAGATGAGATGGTTGGTGTCGAAAGCTGTCAAAATCAGGGAGGAAGTTGTCAGAATCAGGGATGTGGTGACCTGGTTTAGCTACCAAGCCAGTCAGACCAACGGTTCATTACTATTGCACCGGTCCAAGACTGGTCCAATGCGAGCCATAAGCTAAAAGCGAGTGTTTCCAGACTGGTAATATAAGGAGTGAAACTGATAATATTTATTTATGGATTTATCCACTTTTATAGAACTGTTTCCGAACTTTACCATTCTAATTTTGTAACTAGCATAATTTATTTATTTTCAATAGCTTCTAAAAATGGATCTGGTTGTTCTAAATTTATTGGAAATCTATCTCTCTTATATGATATATAAAACTTGTTTTTTCATAATTAAGATTTTTCTTCAAATTATATTTAGAGTACTAATCCCAAAATTACATTTATAAGCATAAAATTAACTAATGCATGCAAGTTCTTGAAAACAGTTATCCGGGAAACTTGAAATTACAAACCGGGGGAACAATTTTTCTAAATTTTATAATGGGAGCTTATCAAAAATCGAATTATTCACAGTAAAATTACAAGTTTACAACCACCCGAACAACATAATAAACACTTGAGATGTATAGAATTATTCATAGTAAAATTTATCTTTAATTCGTGGTATTATTATTTTTCTATCCAAAAGACCAAAATATCTTAGATTAAGAAGATAATCTTCTAATCCAAAAGAAAATTGAAATGATGATTGGTTTAATATTTTTATGATTCTTTTTAAAGAAATTAATTTTCTGAATTTTAATTTTTAAATTTATTGATATTGTTGAATATATCTTCTTAATTCGTGATTTTTTTGTTAAAGATATTTTCTAATACCGTTATAATTCATTCAAAAAATAAAAACAACTTTCAGCTCGGTCTAAAAAAATTCATGTCTACGCCCATGTCACCAGCATTACTGCAGTGTGGCCACCATGCAACCACATTGGTTTCCATGCATGGCCACATCACGACATGCTAGCGGCCTAAGGTGGCCACATTGTGGCCATCTTGACGGCCTTCCCATGGCTACATCCTTGCCCCCTATTTTCGATATTTATTAGACCGCCTTACAAGTTACAGTCAACTGAACAATACAATTGTTAGGCCTGAGTCCCTCCTATGTGAGGTGGCACATTCAAAGCCCAATAAGGCTTGTAGTTAAAAAAAAATGGCTGCAGTAGATGAAGTAAAGAAAAGAAAAAGAGAGTGAATTTTTTTCATCTATGCACAGTTTTCATCAAAGCTGTGATTTTGCTTTGTCAGTGGTTGGATCGAGCTCAAATTTGGAAGAGAGAATCACGACACAAGGACCTACAATCTGAATGGTGAAGATCAATTTTGAGTTCTGGAACTTGTGTTTTGTATCCGTAAACAATAAGTTCGGGTTTTGGTGAGATCTTTCCAACATCCCTTTTTGTTGATCATGTTTCCACTATGATGATGATGTTCTTATTGTGATTATATATCAAGATTGGGTTGTTATTGATGTTTGTGTTTGCTGGATGTATCTAATAAACTAAAAGAATTATTGTAAGACATTACTTGGTTGATAGTGGAGGTTTTTGAGTGGATTTCGATCCCATGGCTTTTCCCTTTGTATTGAAGGGTTTTTCACGTAAATTTCGGTTTCTTTGTATGATGCTGAGTTTTTACTTTGTTATTGTGATTATTCTCTAATTAATTTTACACAAAACTGGATCCTTAGTTCAGCACAACAGTGGTATCAGAGCCTAGTTGGTGGTTTTTTTTTTGTGTGTGTAGGGATGGATGTTAACACCAATAAAATGATCGATTTGGATGCGGTAAACTATCACACATGGAAAGGTAAAATGGAAGATCTTCTTTATTATAAGAACTATCACACTCCTATTTTAGGTGATTCAACTAGCTAGGCCTGAAAATATGAAGGATGATGAATGGACTTTGTTGAATAGGCAAGTATGTGGGTATATACAGACATGGGTGGATGAAAATGTTCGCAATCTCATTAGGAATGAAACAAATGCTTATGTGTTGTGGAATAAGCTAGGTGAGTTATATGCTGGAAAAATGGGTAGCAACAAATTGTACTTGATGAAAAAGTTTAGGAACTTGAAGTATAGAGATGGTACTCCTATTACTGACAACTTGAATGATATGAGGGTATTTTTGATCAATTGGCTACTATGAAAATCTCTTTTGAAGATAGGGTCCTAGCTTTATGGCTCCTAGGTTCCTTGCCAAATAGTTGGGAGACTTACAAAGTCTCAATTATAAATTCTGGTCCAAATGGAATAATATCCATTGCTTTATTAAAATCAATTTGATGACTAAAGCAACAAGGAGAAAGAATACAAACTCTTCATGAGGTGATTTAGAGGCTTTTGTAACAGAAAATCGGGGGAGGAGAAAATTTAAAGGCTCCGATCATTATGGGAAATCCTGAAGCAAGTCCAGAACAAAGAAGGATATTGAATGTTATTATTGTGGAAAGAAAGGTCACATGAAAAGGCAATGTTGGAAATGGATAAAGGAACAGGGAAAGAAGCAAGGGGATAATGAGCAAAAAATAGATGAAAGCAACACAGTGACAGCATCCTCAAAAGAATTTCTCATTATTCTTAAGGGTGACATGATTAATCTTGCTTGCCAGGACTCTAGTTGGGTTGTTGGCATTGGTGCCACCATACATGCTACCTCCAGAAAGGATATCTTCTCATCATACACATCAGGATCTTTAGGTACAATGAAGATGGGAAATAATGATATGTCTATGATTATTGGTAGAGGTGATGTATGCTTAGAGATGAGCAATGGTAGTAAGCTGATTTTGAAGATGTAAAACATGTTCCCGATATCAGGATAAATTTGATTTAAGTTGGAAAGCTTGATGATGAGGGTTATTGCAACATCTTTAGTGAAGGACGATAAAGGCTCACTAAAGGATCCTTGGTTGTGGCTCAAGGGAAGAAGACATCTACTCTTTGTATGATGCAAGCTAACGTGTCTAAAGAACTTGTTGATGCAGTTGACAACGATTCCTTGTAACAGATAGCATGATGGGTCCCACTCTACCAGACCACTTCACGCCACGCGTCCTTCACGGTAGGTATTGTCCTCCCCTTTTTTAAGGGATTTCTAACGCCTTCCACATCACTCGAACTCATGCCCAATAGGCTATAGGCAAATAGGAAGCATGGTGTGTACCATTGGGCTAAGATAGAGCATGGGTTTGAGTGGTGTGGGAGTCGTTAGAAATCCCTTAAAGGGAGGGGGGAATACAATACCTGCCGTGAAGGACACATGGCATGAAGCTGTCGGGTAGCAGTGGGGGCCCACCATGCTATCCGTTACATTCCTCTATAGAGTTATGGCATAATAGATTAGGTTACATGGGTAAAAAAGGTCTACAACACTTGGCCAAGTAAGGACTTCTACAGGGAGTGAAATCAGCAAACTTGAAGCATTGTGTTCATTGCTTGGTTGGGAAACAAAATAGAGTTGTTTTCAGACCAACCCCCCATGAGAAGGTTGAAGGTTCTTGACTTGATTCACTTAGATGTTTGTGGTCCTACGTCTACTAGAACACTTGGAGATTCAGTATATTTGGTGACTTTCATCGTTGAGCATTCTAGAAAAGTTGGACTTATAATGAAGTCCAAGGATCAGATGCTAGAACTCTTTAAGTAGTTTTAGGCAATTGTTGAGAAGGAAACCGAGAAGAAGTTGAAGTGCATTCGAACAGATAATGGTGGTGAATGTCGTGGGCCTTTTGAAAATTATTGCAAGGTGTGAGGAATTTGGTGCATCAATGGTCTCCTCCAAAGACTCGTGTAATTCCATTCAGCCAATCATCCTTTTGATGTACCACTCTGCATCCTGAAGTGATGGACTTGGGTCCACACTTCACATAGATACCTAAAATCTTTATTATTTTCTTTTAGCCACCACTAGTCTTAGACAGCTTATTGGATGAGAGCAGAGCAGACTAGTTATAGGAAGGCGCGAAGTGTAGTAACTTCCGGAATGAAAAACTAAATGGCTTGGCTGAAAAGATGAACAGAACACTAGTAGAGAGGGCAAAGTGTATGTTAGCACATGCGAAACTGCCTAAGAAATTTGAGGGTTAGGCATTAGCTACAACTATATATGTTATCAACTATTCACCTTGTATCCCTCTGCAGCTTGATGTGCCAAAGAGAGCTTGGAGTGGAAAAAATGTTGTCTACAATCACTTGAGAGTGTTTGGATGTTGGGCATTTGTGCACATTCCCAAGGATGAAAGATCAAAGCTTGATTCGAAGACTAGAGAATGTATTTTGTTGGGCTATGGGAATGATGAGTTTGGTATAGACTTTATGACCTGGCTAGATAGGAGTTGGTGAGAAGTAGAGATGTTGTCTTCTCTGAGGATCAAATTATTGAAGACATTGATAAAGTTGTTGAAAAGCATGAACTTTGCGATGATGGCCAATTTGACATAGAGCCAACTTACAATCAGGATGATTCTGATCAAGACAGAATTAAAGATGATCAGGACTACATAGGTAATGATAATGAGTACAGAGGTGTTGAAAGGCTTGATGAGAAACTTGAATCAGAACCACCATCATAAGTAGCAGAATCATTGCCAAATCCAGTTCAAAATCCTGTGAGAAGGTCTGAAAGACAAAAGGTACTTTCCAAGAAGTATTCTCCTTCTAAGTATGCATAATTGACAGATGAGAGAGAACCTGAATGCTTTTAGGAGGCCATCGAAGATGAGAAAAATGATGAATGGTTGAAAGCTATGCAAGAAGAGATGAAATCCTTGCATGAGAATCACACTTATGAGTTAGTAAGATTGCCTGAAGGTAGAAAAGTTCTACATAATAAGTGGATTTACAAGTTGAAGAATGATGAAAGCGGTTCAAAACTGAGGTACAAAGCAAAACTGGTTGTATTGGTTTTCTATTAGAAGCAAGGGATTGATTTTGAAGAAATATTTTCTCCAATTGTTAAGATGTCATCTATCAGAGTGGTGCTTGCCTTGGCAGCTAGTATGGATGTGGAAATTGAGCAAATCAATGTGAAAACAGCCTTTTTCATGTTGATCTTGAAGAAGAAATCTATATGGAGCAGCCAGAAGGGTTTGAAGTTGAAAGGAAGGAAAACTTGGTGTGTAAATTGAAGAAAAGCCTATATGAGCTCAACCAAGCACTTAGACAGTGGTACAAGAAGTTTGAGTCTTTTATGAGGGAGCATGGCTACAAAAAGACAACCTTTGATCATTGTGTTTTCATCAAATTCTTTGTTGATGGTGACTTCCTTAGACTGCTTCTATATGTTGATGATATGCTAATTATTGGCTATGATTTTGCTAAGATTGACGAGTTTAAAAATGAGCTAAGTGAATCTTTTGCTATGAAAGACTTGGGAACAACAAAGAAGATTCTTGGCATGGAAATTAATTGAGATAGAAAGGCTAAGAAGTTATGGCCATCACGAGAGAGATACATTGAGAAAGTGCTCCAAATATTCAACATGAAAACGGCTAAACGAGTTGGTATGCCTCTCGCTAATCACTTCAAGCTAAGCACAAAGCAATGTCCATCAATGGAAAAAGAGAAAGAAGAAATGAGGAGAATACCATATGCTTTAGCAGTGAGAAGCATGATGTATTCTATGGTTTGCACCAAGCCTGATATAGCTCATGTTGTTGGTGTTGTGAGCAGATTTCTAGCCAATCCAAGTAAAGATCACTGGAATATTGTAAAATGGAATCTCAGGTATCTTTGTGGAACCTCTAAGTTGTGTATATGTTTTGGAAATGAAAAACCCGTACTTGTTGGCTACACAGATGCAAACATGGCTGGGGATGTTGATAATAGAAAGTCTACATCAAGATATTTAGTAACATTCTCAGGGGGAGCTGTATCATGGCAATCTAGGCTTCAAAAATGTGTTTCCTTGTCCACAACTAAGGCTGAATTTATTGCAAATACTAAGGCTTGTAAAGAAGTATTGTGGATGAAGAGGTTCTTACAAGAACTTGGTGTCAAACAAGAGAGGTATGTATTGCTTTTTGATAGGCAAAGTGCAATTCACTTGAGCAAGAACTCTACATTTCATTCTCGTTCCAAACACATTGATGTGAAATAACATTGGATTCGTGATGCTTTAAAAAGCAAGTTGTTGGAACTTGAAAAGATTCATATTGATGAGAATGGCTCAGACATAATGACTAAGTCTTTGCCAAAGATAAAACATGATCCTTGTTGTGAGGTTGCAGGCATGGTGAACTCCTTCACATAGTCGGGAAGGGGAGTTTGTTGGGCCTGAGTCCCTCCTATGTGAGGTGGCCCATTCAAAGCCCAATAGGGCTTGTAGTTAAGATAAAAAAATAATAAAAAAGAGTGAAATTTTTTTTTCATCTCTGCATAGTTTTCCATCAAAGTTGTGATTTCGCTTCATCTGTGGTTGGATCAAGCTCAAATTTGGAAGAAAGACTCACGACGCAAGGACCTACAATTTGAATGTTGAAGATCAGATTTTGACTTCTGGAATTGGTGTTTTGTATCCATAAACAGTAACTTCGGATTTTGGTGAGATCTTTCCAACATCCCTTTTTGTTGGTCATGTTTCCACTATGATGATGATGTTCTTATTGTGATTATATTTTAAGATTTGGTTGTTCTTGATGTTTGTGTTTGTTAGATGTGTCTAGTAAACTAAAAGAATCATTATAAGATATTACTTGGTTGATAGTGGACATTTTTTAGTGGATTTTGATCTCGTGGTTTTTCCCTTTGTATTAAAGGATTTGCCACGTAAATTCTGATGTTTTTTGTATGATTGTTTGATGCTGAATTTTTACTTTATTAGAGTAATTATTCTCTAATTAATTTTACACAAAACTAGATCCTGAGTTTGGCACAACAACAATAAATACATCTTAATTAGAATTGAAATTTTTTGTCTTGAGAACCTTATCTAGAATCATTCAAAGTTTGATTCTAGATTAACTGTTGTGAAAGAAACGTTGATTCAAGATCAAACTAATTTTTAGATGAAAGGAGAGATGTTTTTATAAGAGAGGAGGGAGATTGTCACAGAGAAAAAGATTTTCATAATTAAGGTAGCGATTGTACATCATTTCTTATTATTTTCTTACCTGGAAAAATTAAGAAGCACTCGACGGATTGACGCAACCACCTTTGAGCTACATTACGGTATGATTAATTAGAATATAGTGAAAATCAATAATATATTATAAAAACAATAAAAAATAAAAAAAACATAAAACCATTGTAGAATATTTAAGTGGGTCTGTGTTAGTGTATGCTATTGAGTCAGTTTTTTATTAGAGTAGAAAATATTTAAGTGAGTTGATTAATTTAAGTGAGTTAAGTATATATAAGCTTAAGTCTCAAAATACATAAATATTAAGGCTTGATTAACTTTCATTCTCTCAAACTCTCTTGATATCTGTTACTTTAATTTCAATTAACAGAGAAGCAATAACTCAGAAAATTTAAAGTATATCTCGAGCATGAGAAATTTAAACAGATCTAGGAGCTGCATATAGTGGTTGGAATCATAATATGAGAAGTTGATTTAAGATATATATATAATTTAAGGCCTTAGATAAATTCTTTAATCGATTGATTTTTTTTTTTTAATAGTTGACATTAAGAAGAAGTATAAAAAACTGAAACCTTAAACAAATAGATGTAAAATTCTTAGATGGAATCATAATTAGATTAAAGCTGCAGGTTAAAAAGCCTAACTATAAATAAAAGATTACTTACAGAAAAGTTCAGAAAACACAAACTAGGTTTTCTTCTTTATATATTTTGATACAGAAAGGCTAAGCAGTTCGTCAGGGGAGGAAGATTTGGCTAGAAGAAGTTGAGTAAGAGTTCTGGTGTTTTACAAGTGAAAATTTGAGAGATTTTTGGAATGGGCTTCAATGATTGACAATTGATGACAAGAGACTTGAGGGTTTGGCTTTTAGTATTTGCATGCACGTGAAAAAAGAGCAGACAAAGAAAAGTGAGACAGAAAGAGGCCAGCGAAATAATTGAGTAAGCTTTACGAGTAGGACAGAGAAATAAAAGATAAAAAGTATCCAATGTATATCACAGTCCTGGATTTCTTGCCTCCCAATAATAGATGACCCCATCACTAGCTATTTTCCATTGTCCAACACAATAGTGTTTTTTAAAGGTTATTTCATCATATATCAAGAAGCTAATATAGGAAAATATCTAATTTCTAGGTTATTCAATAACATAAATGAGGGTTTAATTAGTATAAGAAAAATGTGGATCGTATTGTTGTATGGCTTATAGAAACAGGGTTCTCATGGGGGCTATTTTATAATTCGTGTTTTTAGTATAGAGGTATTGTTGTAATCTTGTAATTAATATATAAGTTGAGATAGAATGATTAAGATCTAAAAGGTGAGAGACTAAGATTATTGTATTTTGTTTATCTCTTTATTTAGCGAAATGAAATATTGACTTCTATAGTCATAGTCATTTTCGATAAATCACATAAAATTGTCTATGTATTATACTGTGGTGTTGTTTCCTTATTAGCTATAGTGTTTTTATTGTCATTTGTATCACTTTGGTATATTAAGTTCACTCTAAAAAGGTTTTGAGGGTGTTCTTTAGATGTATCCACAAAGTATTAGACAAAAAGTTCTAAATGAGCACAAGCGTACACTTACGGTAGTATCACAAATTTCCATTGTTAATAGTCTATAATCGTAGCTCAAACCGTCCATTCATACTAGACATATATGTAGAATACTTTTGACAAATTTCAAGAAAAATCTTATGAAACAACTTTACTTAATTAAAATTAAAAAAGCTTCCGTATAAATTTAAAATGCTTTCATATTCTAGATTTTTTTCCTAGATGTCAGAAAAACATTTCCAATAAATTTTGAACATCAGATAAGAATCAAAACTAATTAGGTCAGGCAAGAGTACTGATCGATCACGTGATTTTCGTTTTGCTTTTTCTTGTGGAGGTAGCAAAGGGAGAATATGTGGAGCCACTAGAGAATCAATCGTATCATTATTGTCTAAGGTCTCATTCATATTTGTGAGAATACAAACTGAACGATGATATCTATAATTTTCTAAAATTTATAATGTTAAGAGTGTCATACAATGTAAGAATTATTATGACAAATGTTTATCCAGATGGACATGAATAAATTTTGTGTCCTAATAACCCTAAAATAAGGATCTCTATATGGATGGAAAGTGAAGACAACTCTCTATTATCGTGATCTCACCTACAACATCTTGTAAGAATATATTTGTGTAAACATTTTGTATGTGTAATTTTATTCTTATTGTTGTAGTATTGGCCTTGCAAGTTGGACATTTGGAGTCGGGTCACCACCGCAATTCCCATCATCGATGTTAAGTTGTCATTCCATTGCAAGTGGGCTTTAGAGCCAAGTCACCACCACAATTTTGATCATAGTGTTATCATTCTACCAAAAAACTTAAACTAGTAGGTGTTGGCCATTTACCCCTTCAAGAGTCAATAAACCCCTTCAAGAGTCAACATTTACAAAATGGATTAGTTCTAGGGAACCTACTCTAACACAGTCTACCCTTTCATATATGCTGGCTACTCTAACCTCAATGGACTCAGGTATCTTGTAGAGATACTTGAGCTTCAGCACCTCCTCCAGAACAAATTTTGATGGCAGGTTGTCAACAAGCATGCCACCTCTAGGACAGCTCTACTTGTCCCCATAGCAACACTAATAGATGGAACCTTACTCCTGCTGGCTCGTTTTACCTGAGGACCACTCTCAGTCTAAAAATCATCAACTAAATATCCACTATTGAAGCCATCATTGCTCGGCTTTGCCCCTTGATCCGTCAGCATTTGCCTTTCATGGAAAGCCACACTCACTCCCTCAGTTGGAGTTGACTCATCACCTTCAGGGTGCATTATGATGGTAGGTGCATTCTCGTATTCGTCACCCCCAGACATCATAACTCAACTCAACCTCCAGATACGATTAAAAAGGATACTGCTCGGCTCTACCTCCAAGCCCACTCTAGTTACAGCAAATGACCAACTTCCCACAAAGTTTGGCACCACTGTGTTAACAAACTCAAACCTTTAGCTTCTTGTCTTCCGCTCAGATCAGTTGACACAACACGGACTAAACCTCTCAAAGAAAAGATTGCCCTTCTCCCGCTCCCTCTAGATCAAAACCGTAAGCCACCCAAGACCCTTGAAATACCGCTTTTCCCAAAAAAAAAAAAAAAAAAAAAAAAATTTAAAAATCTCCCTTTGTTCTCAAAATATCGCCAAATCAAAGCCTAAACTACTCGAAATTCAAGGAAAACTTGAAGGAAACACAAAAAACAAACAAAAGCTAAAGAAAAAACGAAGGAGTTATCGTGATTCTCGTTGAAAATAGTCGAACAAAGTAAAATCTTCCATTGCCAAAGCTTCTTCGTTTCTTTTCTATCTTTGGAGAAGGTAAAATGGCAAACATCGAAGAGCCATTTACATTTAAAAAGGTCCGACATTTCGACCAATACATGGCTAGCAATTAGGGGGTCTCTAGAAAATGAAACTCTTCATTTTCCTGCCCAAAAGGCATCTCTAAATCCTGGCCATACATGTGGCAGCATCCATGCAACTTAGGATCATAAGCACAACACTTACATGCTCGCCAAAAGCCTTGGCACATGACACGCTCAGAAGGATCTCATCCCAATTTAGGTTCGTGCTTGGCACGGCTCTCCTACAAAGCCCTAAAGAATTCTCCTCACGGTTTTTCAATTCGACTTAGCAATAACCATACAACCTAAAATGGGGTCAATCCTCAACAACTATGAGGAACGGAGCAGGTTTCCAATTGTATTAGAACTCCATCTTGCTCGACCAAAATGCCTAAAGAGAACACCATGCTTTGCAATTCTCTCAACTCGGCTACGACTAGAGTTGACCTCAATGTTACCATATTCTCCCAGTGGATATGGATACAACACTAACGCACCTGGCTCTAAGTCATCCGAATGAATGGAACCCATCGGTCTCACCATTGTTTACTCCATGAAAGTTGCCTTGTGATCTCTTTATGCTATTGCTAGCTTGGCATATGTGTCTCAATTCAAGGCTATTGCAAAGCTCCATCACTACTATGCTCGGCTTTATCTTTATTTGGCCACATGAGCTAAGCTGAGCGGCTTATGCCTCTGTGGCAATAACAAGTAGTTCGAGTCAAACCCTTCTCGAAACGACAATGACTCGTGCATATTACACCTATGATTAATTGAATCTACTCTCTAAGTTAAATATCCTTTAACTTGTATTTTTTTTATGTGCAAAAATTGTATTGGGCTTGACTTGACCCAATAACAAAATAAAATTGTTACGGCTTAAGGCCTTGTTTAAATCTACCTTGTGAACTGACCACTCTATGAGTTGGGCTATCCTACAAGTTAAGTTATATTGGGTCATGGCCCATCAACCCATAGCAATCTATAATTGGAATCAGAATCCTATTCTATTTCCACTTCTGTCAAGATCTCGAATATTATTCAAAGTGTTAAACCTAATCTGATAAAGGCAAGAGATCATATTTCCTTTCTAATTGAAACTCCTCTACAAAGTAGGACTCAGAGTTCTACTGAGATTCCAACCTCTTGGGTTCACTATATAAACAGGGCAAACCCTCTCAATATCCGTGCAGAAATCACCCGCAACACCTAGGTTTCAAAGTTTTTGCTCCCAAGAACCTCTGCATTATTCCGGTAATCCTTCCCGTCCTCAGCCCTCACTAAATACCCCTAGCCTCATTAACTTGAGCGTCAGATCTATGGTAGAAACCACACCGATGCTTATCTAGCCTTCATATTCTCTTCTCTTCTCCGTGCAGGTCCACCAGGTTGTTAGTGGTTGTATTCTCATAAGATCAGTCCCTTTGGAATTAATAATAGATTTTACTATCTATAATCCCTCATTTACTTCGATGTCCCTTTGGAATTAATAATAGATTTTACTATCTATAATCCCTCATTTACTTCGATGTCGCGCTGCCCTGAATACGTAATACTAATGCAAGCTTGTGTCAATGGCCAAAATTCTTTAAAAGTTGTTGCTTTTGACTAATAATAATTTGCTAAGACCAGTCCAAATGAACTTTCATGGAAAATATCTCTGAACTCCGATGTATTACCCGTGTTAGAAAAATCAATTCCAGGTGTTCAGTCAAACTGGTCGGTTTGTTGAAGTCAAAAAAGGAAAAAAAATTCCAGGAATCTGCCAAAATGGTCGGCTCCAAGCAGCCTATAAAGTCAAAAGCTACCTCCCTATCCAGATATAAAATAATCTTCTTTTTATCTTCTTCTTCCTCGTGTTCTTCTTTACCAAAAATCAGCCATGGAAACAATTACCAAATAGCAGCCATGGAAACAACCAGTCCTGACTGGACCAGTCTTCCTGACCACCTTCTCATCTCAATTGCAAAACTCCTCCGCACACGAATCGACCTCCTCCGTTTTTGCGCCGTTTGTTGCTCGTTTCGGTGCACACTTCCTCCTCCTCCAAAAGTCCTGTTTCCCTTCTCAATTTTAACCGTCCCTGACTTCCTCAGGGGCCCGAATCCTCACGATAATGACCTCTTTTTCCCCTCTGAGTCCACCATTTACACCATCGAGCCCTTAACAACGAAACCTCTCAAACACGGTTGATCAAAGTCGAAGAGTCAAAACCAGGTAGAGTCCAGATCAAGGATCCGCTCTCCGGAATTCGTTTTAATAACTTGTCCAAGAAGTTACCCAAGTCTTTGAACTTGTTGGATTATCGAGTTAAGGAAATAACTAAATCAAATAGACTTATATCTGCTGGTTTCCTTGTAGCCAAGTACCCATACAAGGTATATCCAAAGAATTTTTCTGTGTCTGCAAAAATGATTTTTCACTTCTCATCTTGATGAGACTGATGATGAGTTCGCTGTTCTGGCGAAATTCGGGCGAAGAAACCGAAGCGTGTGGAGAAACTTCGACAAAAAATGGACTCATATAGAAATGTACCTCGAGTCATTGGAGTATATTTTGGATATTATTTATCATAATCACAAATTCTATGTTTTGATCTCTAGAAGTGTGGATTCAAAATCCTTGACTGTTAATGAAGTCCCAAGCTCGCCAGAGGACTCGAATTCACAGTTGATAATCTTGCTATGCTTGGTTGAGTCACTCAAGGATTTGCTTTTGATTGGGAAGTACAGAGAATCCGGGAAAAATCATGATCATTTTAAGGTTTTCAAGCTTGACCAAGAAACATGTCAGTGGGCTTCGGTGGTGGATGAATTAGAGTTGGAGGATAGAATGGTGATTATCGTAACCCAAAATATAGTTACCCTGGAGAAGGCGTCAGGATTTTTTGAATTGAAAGATAGTCTCGTTAGAAAACTCTCAAATTTTCCATGAAATTCTAACCTTTTCTGGCCTCCACCAATGTGGCTGAAGCAGGATCCCTGTTCCAGCTCATCATCAGCCGGTTTTAGCCCAATTAATGTAAATATTTCTTTGTTGTGATCATTTAAATTTCAATTGAATCAAATAATGAAACAAGCAAGCAAATTTGTGTATCTTGGCTGTTGTTACAGAGAGTTTTGGCCGTCATGCACCGCCGTGATGTCCAAAGCCGCTTCATTATTTATAGACAACATATTTTTTTTCTCCTCTTTTTTCTTGTTTGTCCTGTTATTCTTTGCCAATTATTGCCAGCCGGCGATGGACACGGTCACGTTCACACCCGATTGGAAAAGTCTTCCTCAGCACATACTTGCCTCCATTGCACCCGATTCGACATTCTTCATTTTCGTGCTGTTTGCCGTTTTTTTTCGATCTCCAATTCCTCCTCCTCCGGAACTCATATTTCCACCCTCTGTTTTCACCACCTCTGACTTCTTCCGAGGCCCAAATCTTAGCCATGATGACCAGTTTTTCCTCGTCGAGTCCACTGTTTACGCCATGGAGCCCATCGAGAAGAAAACCTGCCAGACATGGTTGATCAGAGTTGAAGAATCAGAGTCAGAATCAGGTAAAGTCCAGATCAACGATCCCATCTCTGGATATCGCTTTAAATACTTGTCAAATTTAACAGTCCTTGAACTTGCTGGAAATAACTAAATCATACATACTTATACCAGCTGCCACCATTAAAGGTGATGGAAAATACCCTTATGGCTATGGCATAAACACATGGCAACCTCCTCCTTCTGCAAAATTGATTTTCTCTAAGAATCTTGATGAGACTAATGAAGGATACGCTGCTATGACAAGATATGACAGAGGAAGAAAACTAAGTTTGTGGAGAAATGTCGGCAAGAAATGGACTGATATAGACATGGATCTTACATATCCTGAGTTTTTTACAGATATTATTTATCCAAACAAGAAGTTCTACGCTTTGATCACCACGGGAAATATAATAACTGTGGATTCTGAATCTTTAACCATTACTGACATTGCAGAAAGGCCACAAGAGGATCTGGATGGTTCACTGCTATACTTTTATTAGAGTCATTTGACATTCTGTTTTAGATTGCTGCGTGCGAGGATGACAAAAATCACAAGTTTGATTTCAAGGCTTCCAAGCTTGATGAAGAGAAATGCAAATGGGTTATGGTGGAGGATGGATTTGAGTTTCAGGTTAGAGTGCTGTTTGTGGATGAAGCCTGAAGGGAGTTCATATTCCGTTTCCGCGAAAGAGTTCTCAGGATGTTTGAGGAATTGCATTTACTTTATAGATGACCAATTTAACGATATCTTTCATCACCCTGGAGATGATACTTGGATCTTTGAGTTCGAAGATGGTATAAGGTTAGGAAACTCTCAGATTCTCCGGGCTATTCTTGATTTTTTTGGCCTCCCCACTTTGGTTGAATTAATCTTAATCATACATTTATTCGTATAACTTCGTGACTGTTCGGATGCATATGTATCGGACCAAAGTGGTTGTCAGTGATTAATTGGTATGTTTGTTAAAGAAAAAAAAAGAATTATATTGCAGGAATTTGCCAAATTGGTCGGCTTTGCGCCAGCCAGTGAAATCAAAAGCTACCTCCATTTCCAAATATAAAATCATCTTCTTTTCTCTTCTTCTTCCTCATCTTCTTTACCAAATAGCAGCCTTGAAAACAACCACTCCCGTTGAAATTTGCAAGCTGAGTTCTGCATTTAAATTAGGGGGCAGAGTAGTCTAGGGGTGCAGTCGAGCCAGCCGCTACGAGCTCGGCTCAGTGAGAAAAAGTGAAAGCTCGAGGTCGAGCTCCAGCTTGTGAGCTCTCGGCTCGATAATTAAGTTACATGGCTCGAGCTCGATTCGTCAAGTTCCGAGCCGAGCTCGAGCTCGAGCCAAGCTCATTTGCAGCTTTTTCCCAGCAAAACACAGCACAGCTTCATGTTCTTAATCTTCTTCTTTCATTTGCCCAAATCTACCTCTTCTCATCAACGTGAATTACCACTCCAATTTACACCTTCTTCCACAACTCTTTTTCATTCTCACTTTCAAACCCATCATAATATTCTTAAACTAGCATAACAATATATAATTAATTAATGCATATCTCAATAAAGCTCAGTAGATTATATACTTTGATGCTTTGTAGTGCTAATATATATACAATGTTTGTATATGCTGGAAAGCATGCTACATATATACAATGTTTTCATATTTTCTTTATGCTCAATAATTGTCTTTCAGATACATAAACCACACTGTTTTAACATTCAAACATGGAAAAATGAAACCTTCATCACAAAATCACCATTAAAAGTAAAAAATAAGCTAAACCAAACATTAAGCATATGGAATTCAGTCCATGGGAAACAAAAAGCATCCTATTTTCTTCTGCCAAATCATATCAACAAGAAGACCAGCAGCTTCTTTTCTTTTGCATCCACCTGACCCATGAAGCTTTTCTTCTCTTGCATCAACTCAAAGGTTACAGGAAAGGTTACAAGAAATCTTCAAGCGCAGGAAAACTTGCTCAACATATGGAAATCTTGCTGTCAAAAAAGGACTAATTTAGCTGATGCAATCCATATTAAATGCAAAAAATCCACTCAAAGGTTACAGGAAAGCTTCAAGCGCAGGAAAGCTTGCTCAACATATTAATTGCCTCTTGGTTATAGAGCATTTAAACAAAGAAATGGTGAAGTTGCTCCACCCAATTTCCCCAGTTCTTCTACAAGACAGTGAAAAGTTTACAAAAATATGGAGCACCAATCCACTAAATGAGACACCTTTCAATCACAACAAAACCAAACCCAAAAATCATTTAACTAAACTACAAATTTTCCTTACTAAAGATGACTGTAATATCTGCCTACACTGCAAATTCAAAGCCAAGCAAGGACATGAACCTTTTCCCATTAAATTTCAGCATCTTCCTCTCCAGCATCACCATAAATTTTTTTATTCCATTCATTCAACTTCAGAGACATCAAATTAATTCTTGTTCTTTCATTCAACTTTAGAGACACTAAATGGAAAAGTAGAGTATATATGTGTTACTTTTACTATCACTAACCTGTCAAGATTCCACCAAGACTTCATAGGATTGGAAGCCAAAACTCCTCATTTATCTTCTCTTTCTAAACAACAAAAAGGAAAACATATTGTTTTAGTTTAAATAATGTTAATAAATGACCAAACTAATACATAATTTTAATAAAATGGATCATACTTACTTTGTAACTTTTCTTGACTCTATAGAGATTGCGACACCAATCACCACCACATAGTAGCATTTGCACGGTATCGAGAGACAACGATGATCGATAAGTGTCAATAACTCGACTCCCCGCACTGAAAGTTGCCTCTGAAGCGACCGTGGTGATTGGAATGGCAAGTATTTCTCGAGCCATCTTAGATAGAATGTGATAGTTCATTTGATTTACCTTCCACCACAGTAATGCATCAAATGAGGTATCATCCTCGTCCCATAACAAACATTTCTCCTCTAGATAACGATCTAACTCAGATTTCTCATGTTGCACCATTTCAGTTGTCCTAACAAACTGGCAGAACCATGAACTAGTACGTTTAGGGCATTGTATATTGTCCAGCTGAACTTGACTGATTTCTACAGGTGGTTCACTGTTGGCAGGTTGAGTTTCCGCTGCATATTGCTCATAAATCTCATACAAGGCAGCTTGCACTTCATCAATTTTGTCTTATGCTTCTTCAGCAGGATACATTTGTGGGTAGGCAAATTGCAGCATCCTCATTTTCATCCTTGGATCCAATACAGCTACAATTGCCATAACGAAATTGCATTCTCCCCAATACTTGTCAAACTTTTCTTTCATCTTTCCTACCATTGCCCGAATAAAATCATCATCATCAGAACATTTTTCATCTAGCAACTCTTTTATGTCAACAATTTCTTTCAAAAATAAGTTAGAAGTGGGGTACTCACTCCCTGATATGACATTAGTTGCCGAGTTGAAGGCTTCCAAAATCTCCCACACTTTCTTAAGTTTTTCCCAATCTTCATCTATTGGGGCAAAAGTAAAGTTATTATCCAATTGAGCTAACATCGGAAACACATCTCTGTACTGAATTGCAAGTGTCAACAGTTGATAAGTAGAATTCCACCTCGTTTTGCAATCAAGTATGAGTTTCCTTCTGGGCAATTGCAACATCTGAACAATCTCTATAAACATAATTGCTCTGGTCTCTGATTGCTTGACATACAAAATACAGTCACTTACTTCTTGAATGATGGGCTTAATTTGGGAAAGCCCATCCTGAACCATGAGATTCAATATGTGTGCCGCGTACCGCACATGAAACAACCTCCCACCACACATTAGCTTCTTGTTTCTTCCTAAATTCTCCCTCAAAATCTTGATTACCACGTCATTACTTGAAGCATTGTCAACCGAGATACCGAACACTTTGTTCTCAATTCCCCATTCCATTAAACACTTATGAATAGTAGCAGCAATCTCAACACCAGGTCGAGGAGCCGGTATATGAACGAAATTGAGCACACGCTTCTGCAACTTCCAATCATTATCAATAAAATGTTCGGTGACAACCATGTACTCAAGCTTCTGATTAGAAGAATTCCATAGATCAGTTGTCAAACTAATCTTGTTAATACTCTTAAACAAATTAACTAACTTCTTCTTTTTTACCTCATAAACGGTCACACAATGTTGTTTCAAAGCAGTACGTGTTATCTTCTCCCATTGTGGCATACCACATTTTTGCATTACGTTAAAACCTTCCTCCTCCACAATTGTAAATGGATGCTCGTGCATGAGCACCCAGTTTGCAGCGAGTTCCCGCATCAAATTCATATCAAACTTGGCATCTGAAAATGCAAGTGTAGATCGCATTGAGATATCATCTGTTGAACTGGATGGCCGAAAAAACAACTGTGTTTGCATCTGACTACCTATTCGCTTCAAACATGATTTCAAATGTCTTGCAAACTAAGTTGTGCTCTTGGTCTCCGTTATTGCAAGCTTTTCCTTACAATGAATACACTCTCCCTTTGTAGAACCATCTGGTAGAACTACCTTCTTAAATTCATTCCAAACCACTGATGTCTTTGGTCATTTTTTCTTCTGAAAAGGATTAACTTCCTCCTTGTCAGTATGAGGGGTAGAAGCATCAATACCATCACCGGGTGTGCCTGTGGGTGTCGCATCGTCATCAGACCAGGTTTCAAAGATATCATCTACTAGTTGCATTCGTGAAGTGGAAGGGTGTGTTGGATTAGGGGTGAATGACGGATGCTCAATTGGAATAAACAAATCCCTCTGCAAAAAGAATATAAAGTCAGAATGCAACTAATACGAGATGACTGCTGCCCCTATAAACTACGAAAGCCTAAAAATAACAAAAATAAAAAAAGCAACCAAAAAAGCTAGCCATAAGTTCTCAAGAATCATCCTAACAATACAAATAGTCATGAAAAAGCAATTAACTATCAGATAAATAACAAACAAGGAAAGAACAAATAAAATGTTTTACTTTTATCAAGTAATTGACAAGCAGGTCAATTTCATAGAAATTTCCTTCTTATAACCAAAGATTCAAGATGTTCTTAAATAAATCTAACAACAGGAATGATTACTTTAGTGAAAATGGAGCAAGCACAAAGCACAATAAGTCATGGCTAGAGCCTTCTGTGTTGGTTCAATTTTCACCTAACACTGGCCTCAAGATGGCCCATAAAAACCATGTGAATTGACAATCAATAGACTCACTAAAGTCATGTATCATTTATCATACGCAAACATTAATTTCAACATTAATTTCAGTTCTACCCAATATAAATTATAATGAATTAGTGGACTACAATAGCCATTAATTTCTCAGTAAATTATAAATTAAAAAAGAACCAAACAAGTTAGAAATATTTGTGGAAGCTCAAAGAGAGAAAATTATTCATATCTATCCATACGTCATTTCAACTTTACAGAAAAGAAACCAACAATGGGTTGTCAATTATTTAAGAACACCGTAACTGGAGCTATACATCAGTGCTTAATAGTCCATTCATTTAACAGAAATTTCTCTTCAATTTGGGTCCTGCACATCCGTTGCAAAGCACTTTACCAACATATAATCAAAGCATATTTTACAACTAGAATCACCTTTACTCTCTACTCTCTTCCTCTTAGTATATAAATTAAGACTAAAAAAAAAGGGCCTCTTGAAAATGAAATCTCTTATATACTGAAAGCTAAAAAGCTTTATTTGCAGGAGTTATGGACCACATGGAGGAAGCACAAATAAAAAGCAAACCAAGGGGAAAAACCTAGCATAGAACTCAGACCCAAATTTCCGTTGGAAGGGTGTGTTGGATTTACTAATACTTTTTTTTTCCGGGAAAATACAGGTGGGAAGATAGTGATGTTCAGGTCCCCATTAATACAATCTTTAACATCTGATGTACTACTGAAGAAGACACTGAAATTGAGCGACATAACCATCAAAATTCTTCTCTAAAAGGCATTTCGTCAAACACATAACAATTTCTCTACAAACTTCCAAAAATTAACGCAACTCATATCAGCCAGCTTCCAATTTCCAAATACGCAGCAAAGTCAACATAAACAAACGATGAGAGGAAAACAAAGAAATTTGTAGTCAACGTAAACAAGTTTAAAGAATGAGACTCATGGCAAGAGACAACTTTGGGTGTCAAGAAGCAGGAAAATGTACCTTGTGGCAGCAGGGAAGTGAAGAAGGGAAGACGATGGTGGACGGTAGTAGCTGAATGAAGGCTGGATGAAGGCTGGACAATGGTGGTGTCTCAGATCTTGCGGTGTGTTTTGGTGGAGGTGAATAGCTGAATGTCTCTGTTTTCAGTCGAATGAATGACTTCATATCAGATTTTAGGGCAAATTTTAATACGCGAGCTTTGCCTAGTCGATCGATCTCACGAGCTCGCCTACTCGAATGACGTTGCGAGTTCTTTGTACAGTTCGTAAACAGTTCGAATCGAGCCCGAGAAGCTCGACAGTTTTCACGAGCTTGTAGTTAAGCTCGAACTCGTGAACTACTTGTCTTCCGATGAGTCGAGCTCGAGCTCATCAGGAGTCGAATCTGAGCAGCTCACGAGTAGCTCGGTTCGACTGCACCCCTAGGGCAGACTTTAACTAATTCAATAACCTATTAATTTTGAATTTTCCCTGTTTTTCTCGGTCAGGGCTACTGTTTGAACTAAAATATATTGTGAGAGCTCAGCTGGCTGGCATGTATTACAGTTTACTCCTGGTGGTTTTTACAGATAGTCTTGGCTGCCTTGCATGCACCTCTGTGAAGTCCAAAGTTGCTTCATCATTCTTAAGGAATCCTAATTAAATAGTCGGATGCCAAAACAATAAAGAGATGACTGAACATAAGAAATAAGATATGATAAATCACCACCGAATTGTATCAAGATTCTAATACCAGATAATATGGAATACCATCTAGGGTTTTCAATATTTCATTAAACTAAAAGTTATCAAAACTGCGTTCTTAGGGCTGAAACAACCATTAAACAGTTTCCCCTAAAAATCCTAATCTGAAAAGACAAAGGAAAAGAGAATTAAACACTTGTCCAAACAGTACCCAAACATATAAGAACTCGAAAAAACAACCCTAAAAATCATAAAACTGTCCAAAAACCTGTCAAAATGACCCCAAAAGGCTAAAACATGAGTTTGGCTCGTTTGGCCATTTCGAAGTGCCCTATCAACATTCATGGCATTCTGACAATTTTGACATCAACCCATGGGGCCTTGCATCACAACCTTCTTGAACAACTACTTGCCTCCATTGCAAAACACCTTCACCCACCAATCGACACTCTTTGTTTTCATCCTCTTTCTTTAGAACGCATAGAAATGCTCATATAAAAAAGTGTTATGATATTGCCTAATTATGTGTAGGGGTGAGACACAAGTCGAGTAGCTCGGTGAGACACGCGAGCTACTCGAGCTCGGCTCATTGGAAGCTTGAATTCGACTCGAACTCGAGTGGCTCGTGAATAGTATCGAACTAAGTTCGATCTGAGCTAACCTCAGCTCGTCAGGCTTCCAAGTTTAAACGAGCTCCGAGGGCCAATTTGCAAGATTTCAAACTTTGTTTTATTTTTAAGTTGTAAAAATGACAAACAACACCCATTCACACTTCAAACATAAATGGTAAACCCAAATCAATTTGGGATTTTTCATTCAACTGAAATGAACCCTAACTCTAATTCCCATTGCTCCCCCATGCCATCGCCGATGACAACTCAGCCACTGCCATTCACCGTCACAGTCATCTCCACTCTCCAATCACTTCCTTAGCTCTAAAATACACAAACATCCCATTCGCTACCATTTTCGTAAATCAGTCACTCATGCCACCGTAGTTGACAACTTCTCCGCTGTCACCGTCATCCCCATATGCTAAAGCTCCTGAACTTGACCCAAGTTCGTTCTGGTGTGACTGGAAATTCTAGGTTATTGACTATTGGAATTTCAAAGTGATCTGGGTGGTTTTTTGTGAGTGATCTTTTGCAAGTGAAGCTTGGGGTTTGTATTAGGGGGATATTGTGATGTTGTTGTGTTGATTTTGATTTGGTGAATGGTGATTGCTATGTTGATTTTTATTTGGTGAACGGTGATTGTTGTGTTGATTTTTATTTGGTGAATGGTGATTGTTGTGTTGATTTTTATTTGGTGAATGGTGAATTGCAGAAATTTGACTTGCAAACTATTTGCTTTCTTTGTATTTACACTTTGTAAGTGGGAGGCCTGGCTTTGGGTGGCTTTGGTGCCTTTCTTCTGCTTTGGGTGGCTTTGGGTTTTTCTCTCCTGGTCTTCTCGGATTTTGCTGTCCCAAAGTCTATATTTCTTGCTTTAGTTTTTCGCTCCTTTGTCTTTGTATATAGCTTTATGCAGTATACTTTTGTGTTTGTATATAGCTTCATGGAGTGTATTTTTGTGTTTGTATATAGCTTCATGTGTTTGGACATAGGCACATAGCTTCATGGAGTGTACTTTTGGTTTGTATATAGCTTCATGTGTTTGTACAGAGCTTCATGGAGTGTATTGTCTAAGTGTCTAGTGTCTACTCTTTCGTAGTTGTACACTTGCGTTTGTGCAAGAAATGCATATTACATATGTACATCCAACAAATATATCAAACAATTGTAATGCATATTTCATCCAACAACTTTAAACTTGTCATTTCATTTTATGTTTTAGAAGATCATTGGTGTTGGAAATTGAAGATTGTGTTGAATTATGGGCGAGTTTTGCCTTCAGATCTACAGCTTCTTTTTGGTTCACAAGCAGTTTTCAAGCTCGAGCTCGAGCTCAAACACTGATATTGAAGCTCGACCAAGCTTGGCTCGAACTCAAGCTCGTTACTGTTCATCACGAACCAAGCTTGAATATCGAGATACTCGGCTTGGCTCAACTCGTATACATCCCTACTCACATATGAGTTCTTTTCTAGGACTTGCTTCTTTTTTATTATTTTTTTTCCATTGAAAGTACACATACTTTTGTCAGCATGGGGTTTTAGTAAACTATTGTTATGTTTATATTACAATCGTCTACTTTTCTTTTCTGTATCTTTATCTTTAATAATTTTTTTCACCAAGAATCTTTAGTCTTTCTGGAGACTTGCTTAACAAGAATTTTTTTTTTTTTTTGTAATTAAAAAATAAAAATACGCATAATCGACCAATAAATCTCATCTAATGTGACAAAAGTAAAGGACAATTTAGTGGCTTCGACGTGAATCACCATTCTCCCAATTGACTTTTCATTTTGCTGCTCTTCTTCTTCCTCTTGTTATTCTTTAGTAATTTGCAAGCATGGACACAATCACTCTCGATTGGACCAGTCTTCCCCAAGACCTCCTCACCTCTATAACAAAACGCCTCCATACACGA